ATACCAAATCATGTTGTATGCCTGAAACTAATGTTATCTGTTAATTATATCTCAATAAAAAAAAGAAATCACAGTACAAATTATTTTATTTTTCATATCACAACTAGTGGTAAAGAGATGCACATTTGTACTTTATATACATTTGGGTTCAAATCTAGGTTAAAAGAAAAAAAGTTCTTCCTATTAACTTTCTTTTGACCTAGGGAATGATCAATGATATAGATCACAGATTCAAATAATTTTAGTTACAATTTCCTTTGGTTAAAACACCAATAATAATTGTCCCTCTGATGAGCTAAATATTGTACCCTAAGATGAATGGCAAAAGAAAGGTTTGAAGATGGGTGTACTCTGTGTGAAGTCGCTGTTCCTTAGGACAGACATGTTGTCAGTGACTGGATCCCACAGGTATCAAAAGGGACAAAAGAACGAATAGGATTGAAGTCTTACTTGATAGTTTCAAAGTTTTGTATTATTTTATATTAAACAAGTTATACAGCTATCTTTCTTACCTTCTTCAGAAATAGCTTATAATCCCTAATATCTTGTGGTTTATTAGGAAACCTTTAGGGTAAAGATTATCTGTGTCACACAGACACCCATTAAAGACAGTTCAAAGAGAGGAGGCACACTTTGGGTCGGTTAGTCTAGCATAACCTCTCACTTGGGGTGACTTCTAAGTACTTACATATTAGTTTGAAAATAAGTTGCTTCCTTCCTGCTAAACTTTCTGCTGCTTCTGTTACAGAATATTTGGAATCTTAGTCTCGGAAATCTTTAAGAGTTGACTCATCTGTATTTTGTGGGTGTTGAAGAATGTCAGATAGCTTCAGGAGCAGCCAGCATCCACTTGTAGGAACAGATCACATCTTGTTCAGAAGCTTGAGATTCACATGCAACCTACAGTAATGATCCTTCTGCACCAGCTTGAATAGACTGAAGTGATAGTCGTGAGAACCATTGACAAAAAGTACAAAATGTCCATTTGTGTAGACTAATCAGGTAACAGAATGTTGCTTAATTCGGTAATTTATTTTACTTAGTTATTCAAGGCTTGCCAAAGAATTAGACGGTATGATAACATTTAAAGGAAACATTGCTGCTCATAAGCCTTCAGGTGGAATAGAGAATGTTTTTCTGAGTTTTAATTGCCTTACAGTCATAACTGTGGTTATCAGGACTGTTGAACAATACAATAGATACAAGATATGATAGAGGTGTAGTGAGAAGAAGGTTCATCTAATAATTTGTAGGACTTTGGGGACACAGAGATGGAGAGTCTAAAGATGTGATACCATCTTTAGTAGAGTGTATCTCATGATTCTTTAGTAGATAGTATCTCAAGTAGAGTGGCTCTTGTCGATGGTTAAAATAGGATAGTCTCTGGCCTCAAGGGGATTATAATTTGGTTTGGAGGATATGTAAACAACTTCCATTCAACGGTGAAGAGTGAGATGTAGGTAGAGGTGCAACCACATATGGTTGTACAGACTGACCTGCATGGGGTGGGGGCGGGGGGAGGGCACCTAGCTGAGGGTGTGTGTGGGGCCTGCAGTGCACCCTTGTTCTGTCCACCATGCTGTGTTCCCTGGCATGCAGCTGACTCAGCCTGGAGGAATAGGCATCTTCCAAAGGGGACACCTTTTTTCTCATCTACACAGAGGTACTGTATGGATTAGCCTAAGCCCAGGAGCTGGTGTGTACAGAAGAGGGGGTTATTATTCTGAAGGTGGTAGAAAATGCGTGGCTGTGAGGTGGCTGTTATGTGTAGAACTTGAAGGCTGGCTCTTCCAGCCAACTTTTGCCAGCCCTTCACAGGCCAGCTCCAGGGCTGGAAGCTTTCCTGGGGTCGTCTCAAGGTATCCACCCCTGTGTCCGTGTCTGGGGCATATCTCTGTGGAGCACTGGCTCTCTCCCAACCTGCCTTTCCTCCATGAGCCTGTACACTCACGGAGGGAAGGGACCACAGTCTTATTCAATGTGTGCCTGGCACAGTGAAGGGGTCAGAGGTGGGCAGTAAAGGAACTGGTGGGAGGTGAGGTTCGAGTAGCTCTGGGCCGGATCAGAGTGACCCTAAATGCCGTCCCACGCAGTTTCCATGTCACCCTGTAGAACAGGTCATGAACTGTTGGTGTTGGAGCAGGGAGTGACTTGTGCCAGCGTGTGTCTTGGGAAAGTGCCTCTGGGAGCTTGTGGAGGATGGGTCAGAGGAGGGAGATGGCCTCAGGCAGAGGATGCAGAGGACGAGTTAGGAGGCATGGGTTGCAGCGTTCTTAGAGCTTGGTAGGAAGCAGCTGCTCAGAAACACTTGCCATCATTTTTTATTTAGTTAGTTGAGGATACAGCACCTAATGGAAGCAAAGTGGATACACAGAACAGGAGCAGGTATTTCCCCACAGGCCATACTGTCACTGATGAGGCAGATCTTGCTGGAGTTCACCAAGAAACTCCATTCTCACCATGTTCTTGTCCCTTTACAGGGGCTCCACCATTCCAGGAGACTGCTAAAAGGTTTTGCACCCAATTTCCAACACTGGTAGGGTGTGGAGTTGGGGGTGGGGGAGGAGTTTGCACACCACCAGTGAGCAGTTCTCCAATACCAGCAGGGTGTCTCACAATCCACCCCAATACTGACACTGTCTACCTGGAGACGGGCGGGCCCCAGAGATTAAGGGCTCAGTGACCTTTTGGAGAAGGGATGATACCGGAACTGACAATGGTTTCTCCTAATTCCAGGCAGCCTTAGGAGGGACTCAAGATCATTTACAGGGGTCTTTCATTCTGAGCAGTTCTTTTTCATGAACAATGAAAAGGACATTGAGTTATCTGTTTCTGGTGATTTAGCCAGGCGTCTTGGGGAATTTGCTGTTTTGTGGACACTTGCCCAACTCTTGTCTTCTGTCCAGTTTGCCCTCAAAGGGATTTATAGGTAATCAGAACAAAAAGACAAGGTGTGTGAAAGGTACTGTTCACCCTGGAGGCCAGCTCAGCCATCAGTAATGGGCGCACACCCCGCATCCTGCTTGGCGCGAAACCCAGCAGGCAATACATCATCCATATCCTGCTTGGCACAAGTAGAAATTTTCCATTGCCGTTGCCACCAGCCGTTGCCCCCAGTCATTGCCACCGATTACTTATTCCACCCTATAAAAACTAGACCCTTCCCTCTCACGGCCTCAGCCCGGCAGGTTAATAAACTTGCTTGCTTGAATATCGGTGTCTCTTGCCTCCTTTCTCCTTGGTGAACCTTTCAGTATTTGTGTATCTAGCCTGTCTTTGGAACTTACTTTCTTTCCTTTCCTTTTCTTTTCTTTTCTTTTTTGATTAAGCCTTCCTGCTACCTGTTGGCAGCTCAGCTCGGGCCAGGAATCGAACCGGCAACCCTGTTGCTCAGAGCTCACACTCTTGAATGAGCTCTTAACCAACTGAGCCACTCGGCTGGCCCATGGAACTCTTTTTGAGAAATTGAAGCAGGTTTGTGCTTTATCCCCATGTGCTAGCATTAGAATTTCGTGAGGCTGCTTTCTCTGCCAAGCAAACTGACAAGGGCAGATGAGGGGACTGTTTTCTGGATTGGGACTCTTCAGACCAATGGTTTATTTCTGTTTGCTGTTGTAGTGAGGTGTTCATTCAGATGCAGATACATTGTTCAATAATAACAGTCTATTTTGCTGTGGTTGTTGACCTTTCCAGGTTTTCATGTTGGGGACTGAGAGGTGTTGTAGGAGTTTGGTTTTGTATCAGATTGAGGACACATTGTCTGTCCTGCTCCAGAGAAGAGCCAAAGCTGCCAAACAAAGTTGGAAAAGTATGTTGCGCTTAGATCTTTCTCTTAACTAGTTAATTGGATTAAGATGGTTCTGGGTGTCTTCCATAGAGTTATCTTAAACTTGGAATTGCAGTCTACATTGGGTTAGCTCAGGGTTCTCTCTCAAGGGCAGACGGCCTTCTAACGTTGCTTCTGCTTTAGTGCAGGCCTTCATCTTTTTTTTTTTTTTTAAGATTTTATTGGGGAATTGGAGGAGGGGAACAGTGTGAGGAATCAGGGAAGGGGAAAAGACAAGTTGATGTCCTTTTGTTATTCAGTCTAGTTGTGGAGGACATCGCTTCACTGGCCCATGTTGGTATTGTGATCATTGCGCTCTTCCCAATTGAGGCAGATTGGGTTGCCGGCCATTGGACGGTGGCTCACTGCAGCTCACGGCAGCCTACACCATCGCCGGTGACTCACGGCAGCCCAGCTCTAGGTCGAGCTGTTGTTCACCATCTTAGCTGTAGAGGGCACAGTGTCACTGGCCCTCATGTGGGATCTGAACCAGCGGCCCTGCTGCTCAGAGCTTGCGCTCCCAAGCCAACTCTTAACCAATGAGCCACTCGGCCGGCTCCATCTCATGCTTTGAATATTATAACAGCCTCCTTTTTTTCCACCATGCCATCCAAGTTTCACATTGCCTTGGGCATGTGACCTGAGTAGTTACACACAGTCCTGTACTTTGTTTAATGCTCTGTTGTTGCCATCTTGAAATTTTTAATTTTTTTAAAAAAAGATTTTATTGGGGAACTGGGGGAGGGGAACAGACAAGTTGCTGTCCTTTTGTTCTTCAGTCTAGTTGTAGAGGACGTCGTTTCACTGGCCCATGTTGGTATTGTGATCATTGCTCTCTTCGCGGGTGAGGCAGATCAGTCGCCGGCCATGGACGGCCGCTCATGACAGCTCACGGCAGCTCACGCCGGCTGCTGGCCACTCTCAGTAGCTCACAGCAGCCCACTGCAGCTCCACTGCAACCTGCGCTGTCGCCGGCAACTCACAGCAGCCCAGCTCCAGGTCGAGCTGTTGTTCACCATCTTAGCTGTAGAGGGCGCAGTGTCACTGGCCCATGTGGGATCCGAACCAGCGGCCCTGGTGCTCAGAGTTCAGGCTCCCAAGCCAACTTTTAACCAACGAGCCACTCGGCCAGCCAGAAATTTTTAATTTTTGAAGAAGATGGTTCCATATTTTCATTTTGCTTGGGCGCTGCAAATTAAGTAGCTTGGTCTTGGCTATGGGAATGGCATTTCTGAAACTACCTTTTTTTAATTTATTTTTTTTCTCTTATCCTTTAAAGTCCATACTCTTCATCCTATTTGTCTAGCTCTGTCGCTCATGGTGTGCTTTTCTTCAGCTGTCACTAATTCAGGTTCTTCCGGTTATGGTAAGCAGCCCCATACCTCTGCAACATAGGCCCGTGGTGTTTCCTTTCTCTTCATTTCCCCTTCCATGGCCTGGTTCATCTTAATTCATGGTTTGAAATACTGAAAAAGTAAGACTCAGCTGTGAAACCTAACACAGCCCACTGAACTATTACTGATCATTCTTTGTCTCCTACCTCCCTTGGAAAACTGGCTTCTGACAGGTTGGCCATGTTTGATTTGGGATTATGGTTCTGTAATCCCTGTACAGGATGATCAGATAGATTTTTACCAGAGGAAAACATTTTTTCTGTCATCCTCAGGGTGCTTTATTTATTCATTCACGCATCAAATTTTTATGGAGCGTCTAACATATGCCTGGCTGTATTCTAAGTACTGAGGATATGGTACTGAACAAAATACTTCACTTCTTTTTTTCAGTGAGTTAATAATCTAGTTGGGAGAGGCAGAAAGTAAATTAACAAATACATTAATATATAACATATAAGGTCTGGAGAAGGATAAGAGACTGAAGGGTGATGGGGGTGTATGTTTGTGCTATTTAGAAGGTCTGTTTGAGGTGATACTTAATCAGAGACCTGAGTGAAATGAGGGCTTGACCTGTGTGAAATTCTGGAAGAAAGTGTTCCTGGCAGAGAGAACAAGTTAAAAATCCTTGAAGTGGGCACATGCTTGTGTCAATGAAAAAATATCCAGCCTAAGAGAAAGCTTATAAGAGTTTGAGCCAAACTGACGGCAATTACCAGGAAGCAAAATCTCAATGGATTGAGAAAATGCTCCAGAAAATGGCCGTTTTGCAACCTATTTTATACATTAGAATCAAAGGAGGAGAGTTACATGAAATCTATTGGTTGTAGATTAAGGGGGTGGGAGAAAGCAAAGGGGGGGTGGGCAGGGGAGTCTCTGGGATTGGATAAAAAGTAAAATGGAGAGACACACACTTACATTGGTGGGTACAGGATAGTTAATAGCAGTTTACAGCACATAGAGATAGTATTTGGGGAACAAGAAAACAATGAGGGACTTTGTAGTTTCCTGCTCTGGTGTGGTGGGTTGTGCCTCCTGGGGGATCTGGAAGAAGAGATTACTCTGATATTGCAAAGGTATGTTATCTTGGATGCAAAAAGACAACAGACAGGCTCACTTAAGGTAAAGATTGACCTGTGTCAAGGAAGCTCCCGGCCAAGGATGTAACTACCAGCCAGGACTGGCTTTTAGTTAGGAATTTTTATATTCAGACCATCTTGTGTGGTTATTTTTCAGTCTCCTGAGCTTGTCAGGTTTAATATGTGGCCCCTTTTCTGTCCACACTTGCGATCTTCAGGAAACTACAAGGAGGCTAGTGGCTGGAATAGAGTGGGCAATGAAGGGAGAAGTGGGAGATGGGGTTAGAGAACAGGGCCTGTCCACATCTTGTAGACCATGGTGAGGACTTGGGCTTATACCGAGTGAGATGGGAAGACATTGGAGTGTTCCGATTAGCTTGCATTTTAAAAAACTCACTCCACCTGTTGTATTTATGCAAAGGAGCCATCTCAAGTGCTGTTGAGAAGTGAAGTAAGCTAAGAATTGAGAATTGACTATTTAGGTATTGTGATTATTTTGGATGACTGATGTGCAGAAGATCCCAAAAGCAATCTTTTGATTTTGTAGCAGGTCAAGGATTGGTATGGGTAAAAGACCCACTTTGATCTTACCTGTGGGATCCTTTATCAATCTGTTGATTCTTTGGCCAGTCGCTTCCTCTTAGGTTTGGAACTTAACTCAAGGCTTCCTCACTTTTACTTCGTTTTCTGATAAGCCATGCACTCATGTGAACTACCCAGGCAGTCCAAGGCCATCATTGTGCTTTTCTCTCCTCACAATGACGACGTTTCTTCTGCAGTCATCCTCACAGTTTGCTCTTGTTTGTTCACAGCAGTTACTGTTGCACTATTATGTTTTAATCAGTTGTCTTGGGACACTGTGGAAGTAGAATTTCAAGAACTTAATGTTCTACTAGATATAAAGAATGAGAGAAGTCAACAAAATCAACACAATGGGTGTTTAATCTTAGGAGACATCTGAAGAGCGATGCTGTTGATTGAGACAAGGCATGCTAGGACAAGAACAGAGTGGGAGGGGAAAGCGTGATTTTGGACATAAGTTTGAGGGGTCAGTGGGAGGCACACATGGAGCTGTTTAGCAGATATTCAGAGGGCTTAGGGGCATCATTTTGGATACTGTTCTTCATTAAATTACTGAATCCACATGTACCCCTATACCATAAATTCCCTCAACTGAAGGGACCCGAAACATTAATGTCACCCAATCCCCAGCCCAGTTGTCAGAGTCCTTTCCTAGGCAGTCTTTGAGTTTGCATTCAAACACTTCTTTAGGCAACTTTTTCTATCCACCTGTAATTCCCACTACTAGTCCTAATTCTATGCCCTAGGGACTGAATAAAATAATACCTTGTTCATGTGTCAAGTAGTAGGTTATGCGTGAATCGTTATGTCCTTCTCTGAGTCTTCTTATTCCCAAATAAGACATTCCCTCCTCTTTTGGGGGGTGGGACTAAGAGCCGGGCTCTGGGGCTGGTTGGCCTGACCGTGGCCGAGTAGGACAGCACCAAACTCATCAGTTACTGCAAGCATACTATCATCTGCCAGCAATTTTTCAGATATAAAACTCACATACCATATAGGTATTATCCAAGAGAACTGAAAGCATATGTTCATACAAAAACTTGTATATGAATGTTCATTGCAGCATTGTTTATAATAGCCCCAAAGTGGAAACAACCCAATGCCTGTTAACTGATGTACGTGCATACAAAATATGGTGTATCCATACCGTGGAGTACTAACATTCATCCATGAAAATGAATGAAGTACTGCCACATGGTACAACATGAATGAACCTTGAAATCATTCTGCTAAGTTAAAGAAGCCAGACACAAAATGCCACGTATTATATGATTCTGTTTATATGAGATGTGCAAAACTGGCACATCTGTAAAGACAGAAAGTAGATTAGTCGTTGCCAGAGGCTAGAGGGAGGAGGAAATGGGGAGTGACTGCTGATGGGCACAGGGTTTCTTCCTGGGGTGATAAAAATGGTTTGACATTCGGTAGTGGTGATGTGTGCACAACATTTAGAACGTATGAAATATCACTGAATGTTATGGCATATGTTGTATCTCAGTAGAGCTGTCATTAGAGAAAAATGGGTGTTATCTCCTATCGGAAGGTGAGGATTAAATAAAGCAACACATAAAGTGCCTAAAGAACAGGGCCTGGGACATAGTATTACTCATTTAATGATTGTTAGTAATTTCTCTGAAGAAAAGGAATACTGCTAAAATATCAGGAAGCTGCAACTTTTCTGCACTACTGTATTTGTAGACTATTACTTGTCACATAGTATGCAGTCCGTGAATACTTGTTGAATGAATGTGTTTTGTTCCCATTCACGTTCAGCCGCCTTCAGGAATGCGCTTGTCTCCTGTGCTCTGCTTCTGCAACATGTTACTGAATCTGTCGCTGGGCCTAACTGAGCTCCTTGTCCAGCAGCCATAGCGGCGTGGGTGGAGCTAGCTCTCCACAGCCCCTACTTCAGTGTTGAAGTTGGAATTAGGAGTGTAGACTCAGTCTGGGGAAGGAAAGACTCTGCCTTAAATTCAAGGTGAAGGTGGGGACAGAATGATTCTTGAGCTTTTCCCCCCAGTAATTTAATTCTGATTGATGTTTTTAGAAGAACTGAATTGGCCTGTGGAGGATGTGGTTCTTACTAGTTCATAATCAGTTTCCTGGACTGCAAAGGACTTCATGTTGATTAAAAAAAAATCAGTTGGTAGAAATTTAACTGATTTAAACTGATAATTTGTTCTGTTGAATCCAACTCACAACTTCCACAGCTAAGAATTTGTTATTTTAAATTAAGATAGAAGCATTTTTTTTTCCTCTGAAAATAACGTTTTAAAAATTCTCACCCTCTTATGAACTTAGCATTCCACTGATCACACTGAGTTGCTTTTACAAATGTGTAGCGAGGTACCATTTGCTTATATTGATTGAGGCTCATGAAAAGAGATAAACCTATTGTCTGTATTACCCAGCATTCTTTTTAGAAGACCAGTGTAAATTTTTTCCCTTTGGTCTCTAAGTAATGGTTATGCTTCTCAGCTTCCTTTAGTCTTCTGTATATCATGAACCATAGAGTTGACCACATTTCCTTGTTATCATGAACTGTTGGGAGGCTCAGTGTCCTATTTGTAGCTCACCTCTGGGACGTCTTTCCCTGCCTTTTTGTACCACTCTCCCACTAGATTCAGATTTGTTTCCTACTGTCATTTTCTCTTTGCCTAATTTATTCTCTTTTACCTTTATTGCTGTCTCTGTATATTTTCAAGAGCTGCTTTAAAAAACAATTTTTTTTTTATTGGGTAACAGTGTGTTTTTTCCAGGACCCATCAGCTCCAAGTCAAGTCATTGTCCTTCCATCTAGTTGTGGGAGGCGCAGCTCAGCTCCAAGTTCAGTCGCCATTTTCAATCTATTTGCGGGAGAGGCAGGGGGTGGAGGGGCGCAACCCACTATCCAATGTGGGAATCCAACTGGCAACCTTGTTGTTAAGAGCATGCGCTCTAACCAACTAAATCACCCCGAGCTGCTTTTTAAAAAATTCTTTGGGAGACAAATGGGAGATAGTGCCACCATTATTGAAGCCAGTATTTAAAATGTTACGTGAAAACATCTACCTATAACTTTACCTTCTGTACCAACAGGGAGGAAGGGGAGAGAAGGCAAACCTGTTGGAAAAGAGTTTGTAAGCATTTTATTTTTTTGAAGCTTTTTTGAGTATCTCTTTTTCCTGTCTTTTTAATAGAAGTTGGTGATATGGCAAAGCAGTACATAGAGAAAGGTCTTTTGGTTCCAGATCATGTGATCACACGTCTAATGATGTCGGAGCTGGAGAATAGGCGTGACCAGCACTGGCTGCTAGATGGTGAGTTGAACCAGTGGGTAAGCTGGATGTCTGTGAATAGTTGGTCCTCTGTTGAACTCCATTATTGTTCCAGTTTTGAAGATGCCTTTTGTTTCCATGACTAAGTCCTCGTAAGTATAACTCATCTGAAATCAGAGGATCTTTCATTCATAATAGGCCACACAAAGTAAAGCTGTGAGTTGTCATTTTTCACCTGTCAGATTAACAAAAGATTGAAAAATCGGAAAATCTTTTATTGAGTGTGTCGGAAATAAGTATTGTTGAGAGTATAAAGTGGGCAACCTTTGGAGGGCAGTTTAGCAATCTTTATTTACACTTTTTGATTCAGCAATTCTGTGCTAGATTGTTTTGCCTAATGATGTATCTTCAAGGATACTTATTTTTAGCATTATTTATAAACAACAAGACATTGGTAACAGCCTAAGTATCTATCATAGGGATGCCTTAAATTTTGGTAGGTTTACTACCCAAATCTACCTATATGTTGACATGGATAGATCTCTAAGATAAATTGCCAAGTGAAAAAAGCTAGCTGCAATATAGTGTGTTATGTATTATTATTTATGAAAAAAAATGGAGGGATGGTATAATATTACTATATATTACTTACAAACACATGCATAAGCTATCTTTGGAAGGATATAAAAATTGATAACAGTGATTGACACTGTATAAGGATTAAGGTTGGGGGAGAGACTTACCTTTCACTGTATACCCTTTGATACTGCTTAATGTTTAATATTTATTAAGCAACACATGGACCTGATTTAAAAACTCAGTTAGTGGTTCCTAAACTTTGTAGGCATTATGGATCCCTTGATGGCAACTTGATACTTCACCCAAGAACCATGCACGCAGATGCTCATACACAAAATATTGCAGTTTTTTACTCCAGCAAGCTGGCATTCAGAATCTTCTACTTTAAGTTTGCCCAATATAAACCTTTTGATTTATTAAAGGAAAAAGATGGACAGGGTGGATTGTCTTATTAAATAGCAAGATTCCTTGGTGCAAAGAAAATAGAAACTTGATGAACATACTGTTTGTTCTCTATGCACTCAAAATGTGGATAGTGCGATTTAGCTGTAACAAGCGTCTTTCCAGTACAGAGCAGTTTTTCTTTAGTTCACACAATGCACTCATTTCTATCTTAACTTGGTGAAACTGAAGCCTGGGGAAAGTTGTAACAGTTCAAATCTTGATGTTTGCCAGCCACAGAGAAACCAGAGGAAGTGTCCTACATTTAAACTATCAGATTGCCTATATTTTTCCTAACGTCTAGAGCCCTGAATCTCCAAATGATGAATATGGTGGAGAATTCTACGTCGGTGTTTCTCAGTGTGTAGCCTGCAGTGTTTGTAATTGCTAGACAAGAAAAGAGAGTTTATGGCCAAAAACATGTTTCAAAAATGGCAGTTTAAATATTAAAACTTTCTAGCATTTATTGAGCACTTACTGTATACAAGGCATTGTTCTGAACGCTTGATATTATCTCCTTCAATCCCTACAATAATTGTATGAAGTAGATATTATTATCCACATTTAATAGATGAGAAAACTGAGGCAAAGTAGGGCTCCGTTACCTGCCCAAAGATAAAATGCCAAAATTAACCAGTTTCCTTTACTTCAGGTTTTTACCGAACCTTCAATATGATGCGATTTAATTCTTCACAGAAGGAGATATCATGAGGTATTTTCTGAATTTATTTGACTATAGAATCTCCCGCTTTGTTCCCAACACCCACTGAGAACCTCTAGGATTCTCAGTTCTACTGAGAATGAAGTACTGTTCAGTATATTCCTCACTTTGTAGGTGTTCTAAAAAGATGACTATAAAGTGGATCATCTCTTTCTATAATACCTTCCTTAAAAAATATATGGAACTGTGTCCTCATGGGTCTGGAGGAAACCAATGAACTGAATATTTTTGTTAAGAGAAAGGCTATAATGGTTTGTGGAAGGCATATGTGTATTCATTAGGCAATCGTGAATAAAGCTCCTACTGTGTGTCAGAGACTATTTAGTGCTATTGATAAAATGGTAAGGCACTGTCCCTACTTTTTTTTTGTTTTTGTTTTTTTTTTAGCTGAGCCATCCTGCCACCTGTTGGCAACTCAGCGGCTGCTCAGCTTGGGCTGGAACCCGAACTGCTGTTGCTGAGAGCTCAAACTCTTGAGCGAGCTCTTAACCAACTGAGCCACTTAACCGGCCCTCTCCCTACTTTTTAAGGGGCTTATATCACAGTAGGGGAGTCAGGTGTGTAAAAAATTAATTATTGACCGTGCACTAGAAGCCTATCTATTTAGTGCCCTGAGGACAAAAAGGAGAAAATTATGTTCCATTGGTGGAGGAGGGATTGGAACAACTTTATGGAAAAAGAGATGAATAGAGAAATGTGCAGGTTGATGGATGGGGTTGGGAAGGGGGATTTTTTTCAGCAGAGGGACAGTGTGAACTGAGTGAGAGGGATGACTTAGCCTAGTATTTTCCTGGGCCTACAAGCTGGAGGCGGCAAGGGAACCCCTGGAATGGATGGGTGGGATTTGATTCCATACAAAGATGGTGGAACTGGACATTGCTGGCTGTAGGGGCCATTGAGGAGCTAAGTAGTGACATAACATGATTAGATTTGTGTCTCACAAGGACTCTTTTCTTAGCAGCAGGGGAGAGATTAGGTGCTGAGGCAAGGAGACGGTGGTGACTAGAAGCCAAATAAGAGATTGGTAGAATAGTTGCATCAAGGGATTTTGAAGACCTGAATTTAAGCAATAGCAGTGGGATGGAAAGGAGGCACCATTCGGGAGAGAGTGGGTTGAGGAGGAAGAAATGACAGGAGTTGTGACTGATGTTAAGTACTACAGCCCTGGGTTTTCTTTTATTGCCTTCTGAGCTTTTTGAGTTTTTTGGGGTTTTTTTAGCTATCATCACCTTCCCTTCACTTCTCCAGCCAGGTTAATTTCTCTAGACTCTACACATTGAACTCACAAAAGTTAGCCCTCCAGTACTTCTCCTGTAGGCATTTGCCATAAATGATAAACTTGGCTTTGCCACCACCTAACAGTAATTTCCTGAGTTTAAATTCTTTAATTGTAAGGCTTCTCACCTCATAAAGGAAACGTTTAGTAAAGTTAAAAGTCTGTTTTAAAAAGGGATCATCTATGTTACACTTTTTTGGAAGGTGGTTAGTGTAATAACGACTAAGCCCAGTTAGTGCCAGACTGCTCCCTTTTTAAACTAAATGTTTAACATAATATTTTTATTGAGATATAATTCATATACCATAAAATTCACCCACTTAAAGTGTACAATTCATTGCTTTTTAATGTATTCACAAGGTTCTGCAACCATTACTACTATCTAACTGTAAAACACTTTCACCACCCCAAAAAGAAACCCGTACCCATTAGCACAGTCTGCCCATTTTGCATCCCAGCTCTGCCACTTACTGGCAGTGTGCGTGACCTTGGGCAAGATACCCTGCCTCTCTGTATATCTTAGTCCTCATGGAAAATAGGGATTAGAAAAGGGTTTGTAAGGATGACGTGAATATATGCAAAATGCTTAGAAGAATGCATGCCATATAGGAAGTGCAATATAAGTATGAGATTTTGTTAATATGCATTGTACTTGATATGCTGGTCTTTATTTTTTTCTTTTTCCTGACAGCATGAAGTGTTAAGTTCAAAAGTAGTTTTAAAAATATTTAGCTCTGAGAAGTTGAAAAGTCGGTTGCAGTTATGGAATGTTTTATCTCTCTTTTTAATGCTTTGCTTTTGCCATAACTTTTCCTCAGGGTAAAGTTCTTTTACATCACAGGCCTGTTTTTAGGAAAGTGCGTCAGTCTCCTAACTGATTTAGCCTGTATCTTTCTCCTTGAACAACCATCTGGTCACTTTTTCAGTTGTGATTTTTCTTTAAAGCTCTGGAACAAGTCCATCTGGCAAAGCGAGGAGTGTCAGGAATGGCCGAGTCCAGCGTTCAGCCGTGAACTTCTTAGGGTGGAGGGCACGTGCTCTGCGGAGGATGTGCCTGTTGAGTGTGCTAAAGGCGAGTGAGTGTGGACAGGACAAGAAAGGAATTCTTGATGACAGATGACTCATCGCCTTGGTCCATATGGCTGTGGAGAGGCATCCTGCAAATGGTGGGTGGAAATGAGTCGCGTGGACGCAAGCCAGAGGGGGTGGTGGGTGAGGTTGGTGACTGCCGTGTGGTTTGGTCAGCTACATCCTTGCTAAATGAAGTTCAGCACCACCTTACCTTCACATTGTACTTTCTAGTTGGGTGAGAAACACTCTTAAGTGTTAATGTGTATATATGTGTGTTGGTTTTCCCCCCTTTTTTTCTTTCTTTAATTGCCTTGGAAGTTTAATGTATGAGAGCAGTGTTTTCAAAATCATTTTCTTTGATTTTAAGGCAGATATTCTACCAGAGGAATGTAAGGCTGCACAAGCCTTCTAATTTTGTTATAAAACCATGCTTTTTAGTTTCATAGAAAAGGTATTGTATTTACTGCTAGGTGATCTTAAGGTGAAGCAGTAATCAGGGAATAATAACCAGCTCTTTAAAACAAATACAAATTCTTTACTTTTTAAAAGAGGTCTGGCAATGATTTGGGGCCAGCAGGGAGGTGTGTGAGTAATAGATTTTTTTTTTTGTTTTGCATTTCTGAACCTGGCTGCCAGCCTATGCATTTAAACAGGAGCCTATAAATTCTTAAACTGAATCCTAATTTATCTTTAGGCAGCAGGATGTAACAGGATTGTCTGCCAGATGACTTTAGGTGTAGGTATCAAAATATTTTAAATTTATTGTTCAAAGTTTGGTTTAACGGAAAGCAGTCTTAAAATTTGGAATTATAAGTGGAATATAATTTAGACCTTTTAATTGGAGATAAAAATACTTTTAGAATGAGAGTCATCATTTGGTCTATGGTTGTATGTTCCATTTGTTTTGCTCTGAGTAACGCTAAGCACTAACTGGTGCTTTCTGTAGGTAATTTT